TAATTCTAGTACGAAATTTTTTAACGAATCGGGTAAACCCGTTTTCACAGTGTTTTAATTTGATATCAATATGTTGGCTGAACTGCTAAACCATTTTCTCACTCTACTTCCATATTCGTGGTAAAATAAAATAAAAAAATATTTTAAGGGAACTTTTTGCCATGTTTGACATAGATCTAAACCGATTCCACTAGATCAGAAATACCCAAACTAAGGCCCGCAGGCCGCGGGTCATATACGGGTAGTATATCTTTTAATAATTAATTATTAATTAATAATTAATATATATATATATATATATAGAGAGAGAGAGAGAGAGAGAACACGTGAGCGATAGAGAAGGAAATATAACGAGATAATAAAAAACGGGAGACGATATAAAGAGGACTTTGAAGTGAAAGAAAGAGGTGCCGAGTTGAGGTGAACAAATTGAGGGTGGTGTAGAGAGAGAATGTACGAGAGAGAAAGACAGTAAGAAAAGAGGAGAAAGTGTGATAGAAGAAGAGAGAGAGACGTGATCTCTAAAAGTAATACTCACAAAATTGTTGAGAGAGAGAGACGTGATCTCTAAAAGTAATACTCACAAAATTGTTGAGAGAGAGACGTGATCTCTAAAAGTAATAGTCACAAAATTGTTGAGAGAGAGACGTGATCTCTAAAAGTAATACTCACAAAATTGTTGAGAGAGAGAGAGAGCCTAAGACCGATAGCGAAGGGATAAACCAGAAGCCCGTCTTTTAAAGTGTGTTGAACAAGCTTGAAACTCGTGAAAGTGATTCGTTTGAAAACAAGCCCATTCTTTATGGCGAGTCAATTGTTTACAAACGAAGTGGAAGATTGCGGCAGTGGATGAGGATAAGACAGGGGGGGGGGGGGGAAATAAGCCAAACTGTAGCTTCTGTTGCGTGGTATTCTTTTGTTCTCTTGTGCCTGAAAGAATGGAAGGAACAAAGAAAGACATCATTATAATTAGCTATTTAGAGGACGTTCTTTTATTTGTGGAATAACGCTGCGTGTTTTATACAATTTAATACCATGTATATTTTCAGTAAAGATCTCAAGCCTTTCATTTGTTGTAGTTATTAATACAGATTTTCATACATTTATTTGTTTTTCAAATATTGTCCTGTCGTAACATATCGCTAAATATGAATTATGCTAGACATCGTATCGTTTAAAATGCATTTTGATGTGTGTTGTGTTATAAGATAGTCGTAACGTTTGGCTTTTGATATTAGGCCTGGCGGTAAAGCGCATTTCATAATACCGGTACAACTAATATTACAAAATGCGGTTACTGTGTAATAGAAAGCCTACTAGTACACAGTGTTTCCCAACATATAAACGCTAATAAAGGAACCAGAGGCGTAGTTAGGGGATGCACGATGCCCTTGACGCCACCCTCAGGGGGGGTACCACACGCAGAGGCGCCAAAAAATATAAATTAATGTAGATGTTTCAGTTAGGTAATAAATTCTAAGGTTATTTGTATTATATTATTATTAAATACTTTTAATTTATAAGCCTGTATTTTTATGTGATACTCATGGAACATGGGGATGGAGGGAATGCCAATAACGTATCTTGCCCCGAGCGCACGTTTTGCTCACTGCGCTTCTGAAGGGTACCAACTACCAATTACTTCAAATTAATCAACCACATTTGAAACTAGTTGAGATGAACAAAGTCCAGGCCTTAAAAGTTCACACAACGTATAGATCTACTAGCTCTAATCATTTTTTTTAAATATGAATAACTGTACGCTCATGAAAAAGGTCGTTCTTTTCTATTCTTTTGTTCTAGAATTCTGTCGCACACTTTGAGCCTTTGTTCTGTTGCAAGTGAACATTGGGAAATCTCGCCCTCGCCTCATCAATGATAGATAAGGAAACACGTGAACAATCCACACATCGCATGCACTTCATATTGGCAAACTTTGACGAGTTTCTCCCTCCGTGCGTCGTGATAATCGATGCCCGGGTAGATATTTCGAAATTTTTCAAACTCAATACGCCGACTATGCAATGTCTTATTATAGCCTTAGGAATGCGCTTGTGTTTGTGCATGCGCGTGTCGATGCAAATATTCAACGGGTAAGTGTACAATAAGCAACGTAATGGGGGGAGGGGGGGGGGGTCCACTGTTCGATTTTACAATGAAACTAAAATCGTTGACTGAGCTGTGGGTCGAGGGTGTTTAATTGCTCCATGGACATAAAACGTGCCTATGTTGAAGGCAATGAAAAAATGTATTTTCCTGATGAATGAAGAATATTCCATCTTCTCATGCCTAGATCCGTTTGACCTCGTCGTTTATGGTGGCCAAAGAGTTATAAATAATGAAATAATTGTTGTTGGTTTTCTCTAGTTGATGTAACAACCCATTCTCCAAACTTACTCATTAATGGTGAAATGAATTTCACTTTAATGTTTCAGCATCTAACGACACTGTTTTTCAGCGGTTCTCAACCTTTTATGCTCGGCGACCCCTTTTTACAATGCCCCACTCTGCCTCGACCCCCCCCCCCCCCACCACCCACACACATATACAGCAATAGAAGAATAGACAATAACAATCCATATTTTCGATGGTCTTAGGCGACCCCTGGCAAATGGTCAATCGACTCCCAAGGGGGTCGCGACCCACAGGTTGAGAACCCCTGCTGTGTTTGATCATCTACCATATATGATCGTCCTGCTTCTGTCGAGTTTATTTCCTCACGTATTCCAAGTCCTACAGAATCCATTCAAATAGTCCTCTCGTTTGAACACGATATCAAGTGACTGTTTTATACTAACAAAATACACAGCCCTAGGAGAGTAGTTAAACTTGGGGGCGTCTTCGTTTTCTGACTTTTCGATTGTTCCGCACGTGTCGTAACACTTGAAATGTTGAATAAAAGAATGTTGTACAACAGAACAAAAAAAAAACAACACTTTTAAAACATTGTATTCTTTGTAAACGATAAAGCGATTGGTTTCCGAACTGGGGGCCCCGAGTTCGAATCATGGTGAAGACTGGGATTTTTAATTTTGGGATCTTTGGGCGCCTCTGAGTAGTCTGAGTCCACCCAGCTCTTATAGGTACCTGACAGTTTGGGAAAAGTAAAGGCGGTTGGTCGTTGTGCTGGCTACATGACACCCTCGTTTACGGTGGGCCACAGAAACAGATGACATTATCATATTATCTTTCAGGCAAGGTCTGAAAGATAAACTTTACTTTTTATTCTTCCTTACGCCTCACCGGAGAAGAAACATTACTATAAAAACAGATTCTATTCTTTGAAAAGAAAAGGATGGCTATTCAAAGAGAAAGAAAATCCGAGTCTCTGTCAATTCATAATTCACAGTTATGACCAAACAGGATATTCGATTTTCTTGACAACAAATCACTTTTTCTGAGTAATTTGATCACCCGTTTGTGGCTCTGACACGTCCCAGCTTTCCGAAACACTGTAAGAAAAAGTGTAATATGAGAGTCATACGTTTAGAAAATGTTCTATGGTTTATCTTTCAACAATACATTCATTACTTTCCATAGTGTTCTACTAATTTCTTGCTCCTCTCATTAGCTGTTATCGCAGTCTTTGCCTATTCGTCATATGTTCGGTGTTATGCTTTTACCAACACGGTTTCTTTTATACACTCGATGGGCGCCTCGAACTGTAGATAAAACACCATGTGACTAACATGTCTGACGAGTGAACGCGGTTTAGTAAACATATTGAGTCACTGATTCCTAGGCGCAGTGAAGGGCGTTTATACTACCACTAGTACCGGAACGTATACTGAATAGTAAGTCTTGTTTACCTGTATCATTATGTGCTTACATGTCTGTTAACCGAGAATTGGTTGACATGTTTATGTATTACCAATATGAAGTCCATCTCGTGTACCTCACTGATAGAAGTCTCCCTCGTTGATAGAAATTAAATCCTAAACAGGTAAATACCAAGGCTTTGAGACCTTTGGTAGTGCAAAGGTTAGTCAAAGCAAAGTTCACTCGTGTTTCTCGTACGGCTTACGAGGTGATGTGTGGCCAGCAGGGGCGGACTGGCTATATGGGCATTTGGGCTTTTTATAAGATAAGGGCCGCATGGATGCCACTATTAAATTGTTAAATGTTTTATAGTGGGAAGCGTGGTCGAGAGGCCAAGTGCGCTTGAACTTGGCTTGTCTTGGCTACCTAGAAGGCAGCACGGAAAACCAACTCCGTGATACCCCCTCCTCCCCACCGCTGAGCATGCTATAAGCATGAAAGTAACTCTATATAAAAGCTATAATAATAATAATAATAAAAGTATTCCTTTTTCAGGGGAAGGGGCCTCTGAGCGAAATTTTTTTTTTTCAAATCTTTTACCTTTACCTTTACCTATCCCATAGTCTGTTGGACCATTTGGGCACCAAGCAAGACTTGTCGACCGTATTTCTCCATTCCTCCCTTTTTTTTTGCCTTGTTTAAAACCTCTCTCAATGGCAGGCCCGTCCATTCTTTAATGTTGTCCTCTCATCGCTTTTTCTGTCTGCCTCTTCTTCTTTTCCTGGCACTGTTCTTTTACAGACTCGACTAATTTAATCTATAATATTTTCCGCAATAATGTAATAGCCTACATCCGTAAAGCTTCATTTTTTTAGGGCCTATACACTTTGCGATTAAAAAGCAACATAAAGCCTTTATTCCTTATAAGGACATAGTGTTCACTGAAAGCATGTGTACAGCTATCGATACATTATCAAATTTAACATAATGATTTTAAGGACAAGTAGACTTAGAACTGGATGTCCATCATATAATATAGGCCTACAATTTATGGGCCGGATGGTATAGAAATGCCCAGGCCAATTTTGATACCCAGTCCACCCTTGGTGGCCAGTACGGCAAACTTTACTTAATTATACGATTTTAATAAACCCAAAATCCTCCAGAAACGTCATCCCTTTCACCCTCTGTACGTGATTTAAATAGAACAAGACGTATAATCATATCAGTTTGAGAATGAATATATGAGATTAGAAATGATAATATTTAACGGCATTAAAAATAAAAACATTTGCCTTTTCTAATATAGCGCTATGACCTTTTAACTTGTGGATAATGTCAAGTCTTAATGTCCTATGGCCATTCCACTCGAGTCCACTCGAAGGCATTTTCACTTTTTTTTTATGCAATATCAGTTGTCATCACTTTGTCCTTATCGTTTTTCTTCCACCTCTCTCTCTCTCTCTTTCTCTATATACACACACACACACACACACTATTCTATTTTTTTTTATTACCAAGACCCTGAACTATGTATATTTATATCTTGTTTTGAAAACCAAAGATGTTTAAAGTTGCACACAGACTACTAACCGACTTCTTTCAGTAATCACTGTGTAAATGTTATCCTCTATCTCTTAGACTAGTAGATTTGATAACTTGTGTGTTTGTTGATGTGTGAAGCTGTGTGTGTTTTTCAGATATATTTTTTTTAAAAAGTGTTTGTGTGTTTGAAAACATGGGGAAATGACTCTGAATGACTCGAGATACAGTGTGTGTCCGAGAGATTAGACAAGATCTCTTTAGATCGGTAAGAGATAGGAGAGAGAGAGAGAGAGTCTATCTGGATGTTGAGTAGTTACCGAGTGTTAAATCAGATGAGTAAGTCACAGACTAGGTCAAATAAATAAATGTCTTGGTGTACATGTGCAATGATAAAAAAAAATATATTCACATATGTCTTCCATGTCGCGCTTGAACAGCAGTTACTAGACGATGCTCACTCTGGATGCCATGTTATTAAACTTATCTGCTATTACGTTATTTGTTAGTTACAAAAGAAAAACTCTTTTTTGGTTTATCTTCAAGTAAAACAGAAAATCTTTTTTCCTTTGGCATATTTAAAAAGTGAAATCGTCCCCTCCCCCCTTTATTTCACCTCAAAAATGTAACATATTATTTTTAATGAATAGGTTGATTTTTTTTTTAATCTGACGGTGAAACCACAAGCGAAACATTAATTAATTAGTAAACATAAATACTATCTCACTATCTCTCTTACTGATGTCCAAGTAATTTTGGGTTTTTGTTTTCTTGGTTCTTCTGGTGGCGGTTTTACTTCTTTGGAGTCAAGCTTTGCACTCATACTCAAGTCTGTGTGTAGACTAAATCGCTTCCTGCCCTTGATAACTTGATTTAATTTGTCACGTCTGCCGCTCATGCGTTTTGCATTGCGTTATCTATGCCGACCATTAAAAAGCTTCTGGACCACGATCGCGCGGCCATTAGACTTCTCTCCACCTCACTGTTGAGACCGGTGAGCTACTAATAACTAGTATTTAAAGACTGGAACCCAGATCTTCAACAATCGCGAATGGTCATCATTGCCGACCACTTTGGGAGATCCTCAATAAAACATGGCAAATATGGACGTACAAAAGATTTAGTCACAAATTCTTCCATCTCTTCCAATTCCTCCATATGGATTGAAGTTTAAAACCAGGATCCTTGATTCTCGACATATAAAATTATCTTTTCCTTACTGGCTGCACCTTTCTTTATCTAAGTCCGCCATCTTCTCTTATCCTATCTCAGGAAGCTGTTTTTTTTTTCCCTAATCGGCACTGCTGCACCGATTGATAAGAACCAAGGGGAGTAATAAACCGGTGCCAGTTGTTCTTGCAGAGTAGCTTGCCCTCCTCATCCCCTCCCTCCAATTTTTTCCCCCCTCTTATACTTCGTGTTTCTAGCTTCTCACTTTTGAAATAATCGCGACTGTGTTTTTATGATAGGAAACATAGCTCGCCATTCAGTAAGTGTCAGTTGAAATGGTTTTCAGAGGCTCCTGATGCTGAACTTAATTCATATTGATAACGCGAGGCTAGGAGAAAATCTGAAATATTTCTATCTACAAAGACCGAGAGACAGAAAGAGAGCAAAAAAAAACAAAAAAACAACAACACTAAAACAATATGGCGCCTTATCATTGATAGTAGAGAATGTTTTCTTTAAAGGCCAATGAGATTTTTGTATATGTTCGGCGTTTGTACTTGTAAATTGAATTAAATAATTACATTTAGGGTTTTAGATAAATCACATACATTTTGGTATCGCTCGAGTGCAAATGTTATTTTCTGTTGAAATTCTTTTTCATTTGCACTTAAGCTGCATTCTATGCCAATAGTAAATTCCGAGTTGGCGACATTCGCAATTCTAAGGTCCAATTCAGACATTGATTTATTTAGATTGTATCAAATTAACTAATTACAAAGAAGGCAGCTCTTCTTGGCATGTTAATTCAGCCTCATCTCCTCTGTTTCGTCACTTTATCTTTTAAAGAAGCATCTGATGTACACCAGAGCGTCCCTGAATATGAAAATAAATTGCTGGAAAATAATATTAGCTTTAATCATCATCAATATACATTTTAGATAATAGCGAGACAGCATTGGGCAAGTAGCGACACACACTGAAATATTATTATTATTATTATTTTTTTTTTGGAAAGGAGGAATTTCATGCTTTACATATATTACCATTCTTATAACACTTTTTTTTTTTTAAGAAACAGACAGCACAACCCGGCCAGCTGCACTGTATACAAGTTTATATTGTTGAACTTTTTAAAAGAGAAGCTACGAGTGCTGAGACTTGTTAAATCTTCACTATATCTGCCATTGTACCTGCTGACCATTGGCCTATAATGAGTTGGTACTAACGAACACTGACAGGGCGGTAGATAGTTATCTTGGGTTCTTCCCCGCTGGTATCTAAGGCATGTCTTTAAGGCACCACCCTAAGTCAGTTGAGGTGTGGCTAAATGTCACCTGGACTTTGGAGAGTAACGACGACGAAAAGCAATTCATTACAACTGACCATGAGTGGACCAAAGGATAGCGGCCAGTTCTAAATGTTTTGGCTGCTTGTGTCTGAATTTGCACTGTGATCTGCGGTCATTTCAAATGGCGGTAGGATCCATCTTTTGGGGTCAGTGTTGAAGCTCAGGATTGGCGCGGTTACTGTATACTGTGCTGATCTAGGCCAGTGGTGACTCCACTCGTGTCACTTACAGTGATGGATGTAGCGGTCAGTTTCTGAAACCAGTATCCCATTTATCTAGCCCATTATCTAATTAGACCTCCGTCTGGAAGCTGTGGACGAAAGCCCTGATTCAGGTCGACATAGTGTGATCATCTACCAAATATCCTTCATTAGTTTAGCTTTTAAATGGCCAGTCTCCGTCAGTGGATATCTAATTAAATTGGGGTACATTTTAACTATAATAATATCTGTCTCAATTTTTTTGCGAGGGCCATCTTGTTTTTTTTAAAGGCTTTCTGTTTAAAATGGCAGTACCTTTTTATTTGTATATTGTTATTATTAAAACTTTTTTTTATAGTATTTATGTATCAGTTATTTATAATTTGCACATGCCTACTATGCCTAAAACACCTCGGGCGTATAAAATACCTTTTGTTTCGCACTTAGCCGATAACATGTATACATTACTTTTCTTTAAACGGGTTCCAGTTTACAGACTCGATACCAGAAGTATAATTTTTTTTTTGGGCGGGTTCAGTGTTCAGTATGTTGAAATGGTTTCATGATCATCTTTTTACTAGAACACAGCACTGTAAAGTCCCCCCCCCCCTCCCTTTTCCTCTCTCTCTCTCTCTCTCTCTCTCTCTCTCTCTCTCTCTCTCACATACTCTCTCTCTCACACACACTTTATATAGGGAAAAACAAAATGCTCCGTTCAAAATAATTTACCAAGTAAATATTGCACGCGCCCCCGCAGCACCCCCCCCCCCCCTCTCGGGGCGAAATGATAGATTTCGAATGCCCCAGAGTCTGACCTGCCAGAGAACATGCTAACTTAAATGGAGGCCATGTGAAGAGAGCGGACGTATGCAGTGACAACTGTATTGAATATTTTATCATGCCCCCATTTATCTATCACACTGGACACATACATGATCATTTTGGGAGAGAACTTCCTATATTCTGTACATCTATTTTATTTAATATCTTGTATATTTAAATTTTATTTTTTATTTTTTAATTTAAACTAAGTTATCAGTTATTAATATACCCCTTTGCGGCATTTTCTGCATCAAGTGTGGCAAAGTATGCAGGTCAAAAGTGGGTTTGAGTGATGACGTCTCATCTTCACTCTTCTTCTTCTATGTACTGTATCGAAGACAACGCCTTATGTTTCTTATGGACTATAAACTTATGGATTTTTTCTTTGTTTACATTGCAATAAACGCAGAGATTCCAACTTTTATGGTTTCTATTTACGCCTTGTTTCATTATTGGTATCCCCTCTATGTGATACTTTATAAGTTAGGAATATGTTGTTTTTGTTGTTTCCCTTTTTTTAGCAAGTTTTTTAGAAACGGCTAATAAAGGATACGAGAGAGAGAGACACAATAGTAAGCCGTCTTGGACACATCATGACAGTCATGCACTGTTGGGTAGATTAGGGAGATTCTTAATTGGCATCAGCTGTGTTAATGTGACCATCCCACTTGCTTGTCTAAATATCCGTTTGGCGCTAAGTGACCAGTATCATGCCTTGGGTACTCGTGGTTACAGAATCCATCTGGTCAAGTTTGACCGCAGCTGTAAATATGTTCGGCCAATCTGTTCTTTGAGAAAGAGTTAAAAAGGGGGGGGGGGAGTGAGCCATTAAAGTGCGTATCTTGTTTCACTTGACTACTAGCTTAGGGCATGAATGTCTTCGTTGAGCGGCTCACCCAGTCCTGCGCCAACTGCCCAGGGCGCTCATTCAGCACTTGACATTCCTCATCTTGTGATCTGTGCTCGTGTCCGTCAGCAGGTGCGCAGCGAAAGCGGGAGTAAATACCCCCTCCCTCACACACACCCCCTTACACACCCCATGAGGCCATGAGTTTTCCGCTCAGTTTTCCGCGAGTTAGTTGTATCTGGTAATGATACTTGTTGCATGGAGGCACAATCTTCGAGCTTATCCGAGGGCAGAGTTGGGAGAGCAAGGAAGTTGAAATAGAATTGACCTTCCCCCCCCCCTCCCCCCAACAATTAATTTGTATTAATGTTTCTGTTGTACAGGGCATACGAGTAACTTGCAGAGACTTAATCTTGTACACAATATAAGAAAGATCTCTTTACATTTGAGTATATCTGTAGTCTATTATTCCAAAATGTAAAAAAAAAAGTCAGCACCTTAGCGTATTCACTCATCTAATTAGTGGGTACAGAAAAAAATTGATCTGCGTGCAAAATGATCGAAAACTATAAGAACATAATATAATGCAATATGAGTTTTTAGTTAGAAATCATTACCAATAAATCAGCACTATTATAAAGGGTCGCTGAAGTCCTAAATTTAATTATAAATGAAATGTTAACATTACATGCAAGAAGGTCTTGTGTTTGGCCTGCACATCAGACAATGTCGTCATGTTACTATATACCTCTTCGCCCTATCATTGCTGCTTTATGGCCGCACTACAGAAAGTAGTTTAAATTCTTCTTACAATGGAGCTATTTTACTGATGAAGTTGAGATCCGAACGTTTTCATATTCTTAATTAAAATTAAAAACTTTTAAAACAGCTCATTGATACATACCAACACATCAATGTTATAAGCTACAATAGCGCCTTGATACATACCAACACAGCAAAGTTATAAGCTACAATAGCGCCTTGATACACACCAACACAGCAAAGTTATAAGCTACAATATCGCCTTGATACCTACCAACATACAGCAAAGTTATAAGCTACAAAAGCGCCTTGATACCTACCAACATACAGCAATGTTATAAGTTACAATAGTACCTTGATACCTACCAACATATAGCAATGTTATAAGTTACAATAGCGCCTTGATACCTACCAACATACAGCCAATGTTATAAGTTACAATAGCGCCTTGATACCTACCAACATACAGCAATGTTATAAGTTACAATAGCGCCTTGATACTTACCAACATACAGCAAGGTTATAAGTTATTATAGCGCCTTGATACCTACCAACATACACCAATGTGATAAGCTACAATAGCGCCTTGATACTTACCAACATACAGCAATGTTATAAGTTACAATAGCGCCTTGATACCTACCAACATACAGCCAATGTTATAAGTTACAATAGCGCCTTGATACCTACCAAAATACAGCATTGTTATAAGTTACAATAGCGCCTTGATACCTACCAACATACAGCAATGTTATAAGTTACAATAGCGCCTTGATACATACCAACATACAGCCAATGTTATAAGTTACAATAGCGCCTTGATACCTACCAACATACAGCTAATGTTATAAGTTACAATAGCGCCTTGATACCTACCAACATACAGCAATGTTATAAGTTACAATAGCGCCTTGATACTTACCAACATACAGCAAGGTTATAAGTTACAATAGCGCCTTGATACCTACCAACATACACCAATGTTATAAGCTACAATAGCGCCTTGATACATACCAACATACAGCCAATGTTATAAGTTACAATAGCGCCTTGATACCTACCAACATACAGCAATGTTATAAGTTACAATAGCGCCTTGATACCTACCAACATACAGCAATGTTATAAGTTACAATAGCGCCTTGATACCTACCAACATACAGCAATGTTATAAGCTACAATAGCGCCATGATACATACCAACATACAGCCAATGTTATAAGTTACAATAGCGCCTTGATACCTACCAACATACAGCCAATGTTTTAAGTTACAATAGCGCCTTGATACCTACCAACATACAGCCAATGTTATAAGTTACAATAGCGCCTTGATACCTACCAACATACAGCCAATGTTATAAGTTACAATAGCGCCTTGATACCTACCCGCATACAGCCAATGTTATAAAGTTAAAATTGTTTCAAAGTTTATCGCGTCTATATCTTGACATTCCTCTGGCCACGTTCCCCAACAACAGTTCCAACGGACAAAATGCGAAACTCTTAACGATGACCTATCTGTTGTGTCCAGTTTGTTGAATTCGTCGTGCGCATCTATCTTCTTTCCAAATAGGCCAACCATTTGTCAGCGAGTTCCCTCTGGGCAATACT